TCCTTCACCTCCCCTTTTCCCCCTTTTCCCCCACCCCCTCCACCTTTCCCACCCATCCCCTACCTCCCTCCCCTACCTTCAAGAAGGAGGTTAAACATGGATTTGTGACTGTCTGGTTAGAAAGAATTTGACTGCCGTGTTTGCTCAGTTAGAATCGTATACATGCCTGCATGTATGAGGCTACATGTCACAGCTGAATTTTCAAAAGCTAAATTTTGGGTTAAGAAGGTGTTATTCTTAAATCGTATAATTCCTATGTATTCTGTACTGTCAGTATGTTTACATGTCACACGTATGCCACTGCAGTGCGGTGCATGTGTTGGGGCAGTTTTTGACCTGCGAATAATTGGCTTACAGGGCTGGCAGCTCTCCTATTGCCAATTTGCGCCTGTAGGCTATGCATAGGTAAATGCGATGGTGTTACCTAGATCTCTGTCTTGAAATAGTTGTTGCTACTACGAATGATGGGGAGCTTCCATCTTTAATCTGAAGACACTATAACGTACACGCCATCTCGTGGCAAACTATTCACAGATCCAACGAACATCTTTTGAGAAGTTCTCGATAACCAATCTCTTGTGATTCCAACATTTCGGTCGTGTATTGTGAACATTTGGGACTAACAGGGGTTTACTAGAATCCCAAACTCCCCACAGAGTCACAGCCAGTAGACGTTAGATGAGCGCTGTCGCTATGCGGACTTGTTCGAGTGGATTGAGGTTTGATCTACTGTTACCACGGTTTATATTTTTTGTGTCAGCAGCAAGGTTACGATTACTATAATCTATGTAAACGCGTTGGTTAGAATCTGATAAGTTAGGCGAGCAAATTAATTCATATAAAATTACCATCATTGGCTTAGCAGTATCTATTTTAGACTAATCGTATCCCGCGTTCTAGGCACGAAATCGACATATCATCAAATTGGTTGACTGAATACATTTCTGTCCATTGACACTGTACCGTGTACATATAACTCCGTTAAACCTAGGCGAGCGGGCATGAGAAATACTAGTACTAACCTTAAGGATTATTCTTCACAAGTCAACTAGGCTATATCTAAGATGTGAGGCGACCAAAGTTGATTCAAATTAAGACAGTCAACACTACGATTGTGCACAATCCTATTTGGGTAGAGGTCTCCGTTGCTAAAATAATCTGGGGTGATAACTTGCAGTAGAGCAAGCTTACTAGTACGAATATATAATTAGAAATTGTATTTATAAGTGACTTGCCTTACATATAATACGTATGTTTGATGAAATGGAATAATCTGCAAATATCCCTGAAACGGTGCTGATTCACACTAGATCTGGTGAGCGCAGCGGCTACTCTAACACAAACGTAAACACCAGCAACACCAAAACCCCAAGTGCGTGAGTGCATGTGTGTGTGCGTGCGTGCATACGTGCGTGTGTGTGTGGGTGTGTGCGTGCGTGCGTGCGTGCGCGTGCATGCGTGCGTGGGTGCGTGTGTGTGATGGATGACAGCGCGGGATTTTCTCGTACACGAGTTAATGAAGTAATTTACGTTGTTTGCTCCAACGACGGCTTTCGTTCGCCGTCATGGCATTGCCTTGTCTGACGTAGCCGTCACTCCATAGATGTAGCTGATAGAAGATGCTAGCTTCACTCCCACTCTCTATAGTAACTAATAAGACTCCCACTCTCTATCATAGCTGATAGCTTTACTCCACTCTCTATCATAGCTGATAGCTTTACTCCACTCTCTATCATATAGCTGATAGCTTTACTCCAGTCTCTATCATAGCTGATAGAAGCTGCTACCTTCACTCTCACTCTCTAGGTAGCTTAACCCTAGATTCACTATGACAGCTTAGAGATTCACTCCACTCTCTATAGTAACTATATAAGATCCCCCACTCTCTATCATAGCTGATTGCTTTACTCCACTCTCTATCTTAGCTGATAGCTTTACTCCACTCTCTATCATAGCTGATAGCTTTACTCCACTCTCTATCATAGCTGATAGCTTTACTCCACTCTCTATCATAGCTGATAGCTTTACTCCACTCTCTATCATAGCTGATAGCTTTACTCCACTCTCTATCATAGCTGATAGCTTTACTCCACTCTCTATCATAGCTGATAGCTTTACTCCACTCTCTATCATAGCTGATAGCTTTACTCCACTCTCTACCATAGCTGATAGCTTTACTCCACTCTCTATCATAGCTGATAGAAGCTGCTACCTTCACTCCCACTCCCTAGGTAGCTTAACCCTATTCAATATGACAGCTTAGAGATTCACTTCACTCTCTATGATAACTAATAAGATTCCCACTCTCTATATATGGCCAGGTCATGGCTTTATGTGTAAGTACATTACCGAACCACATCCAGTCCCGTCCGTCGTGGGTAAATGTAATCCCCATCAATCGGCTCTGTTTAAACCAGTGCGCTAACCTTGTGTTACTGTGTAGTGGTGGTACGTAGTAGTAGCAGGAGTGTTACTGTAGAATATATATATATATATAATTATAGGAAGATATAAGGATGAAAGCGCTTGTGTAAAACTAAATGTCGGATTATTCTCTCTTTTTTTAACTATAACTGAATATCGTGCAACCTAAGAACTTTTCTACTATATATATTATATACTAGGTAATGTCAATACGTAGATGCATGAACATATTTACACAATTGTATAGACAGTTATCAGTAGATGCAATATGTATCTCTACATAACAGATACGTTCAGGCTAGTCATGAATCATGCGCACCTGCAAAACTCCAGATCTGTTTTAGATGCACCGAGCCAGTAAGACTTTGTTAATGGAAAATACCATGGCTTTGGTAGTCCATAGGAGCCTGCAAAACATTAAAACATATAATATTGAACATGTAATTATTTCAACTATTGTATAAATTAGTTATTAGAACCAGAGAAGTTACAACTGGTTTTAGTTCCTAACAATGTTTACACAATACATGAAATCCACATAGCTAACAATTGCTATAGTTTAGATATTATGGTTTTCTAAGCTTAATTACCTGGGTGGATGTTCTCTATGTACCACATCAGCACGATGTACAGCACCGTGTCGACGATCATCATAATCGTCACCTCATACAGCGTAAAATCGTCGTCTTCTACGGGCGATTTATCGAAGTTCGACCACTGCACGCCACTGCCTCCCTCCTCATAGAACGCAAAGTACTTGGCACCGAGTCCAAATGCAGACGTTGACATCAGAGACTAAAACGACCGAAATGCGTATGATCAACTGATGTGAAGTGCAATAATTTGGAGAAATATGATTTTAGAAAAAATGACTGACTCAAATGACAGGAATGAACACCGATACAGAAGCTCATCGCTAACATGATACCTTTCTGGGATTGAAAAATTACTAGTCAAACCTACATGGGGTAATGGTAACCAATATGCACCACGTAAAGATCGTATATGTCTCCATTTCTCACATAACTCGCCTGTCTGTTTATTGCCAATAGTATAACTTGAATTGCATAGCATTGAATAATAAAATAGTTGATTCTACGTGTGGGGTAGCGCTTCAGATATATATTCCGTCAAGACGGTCCAGGTCTCTGCTTTACACTCGCACTTACAGCAATGCGCTTAACGGTGGTGGACATTTTCATGTGAGCCGATTCCTCTCTGATGGCGATGTACATGCAGGGAACGTACGACAGAAAGTATATGATGCCAGCGCAAGCTGCTGCTAGTTTAGCCTTCGAATATAGCACGCTTATTAAAAACCTGAAAGACAAAAGCACAGAACTATATTTGCATACGATCTCTCTCTATCCATTTCTCTCCCTCGCTCTCAAATTTTCATTATTTGATGTTTATTCCTTAATTTATACTAAAATTGAGAAACATTAGCACAGTAGTGATCATAGGGGTCATTTAACCTTAATGCACTTATTTTTAAATTACAAGTCACATAATACAAGTAGTTTGCATCAAATCCTTAAAGGGATCCATTACTCTAGGCTCTAAGGTTATTTTCAGTTAATTTAGGTTAAAATTACGCTACATAAAAAGTTTCATGGTTCAATCACCATTACAAATATTATTTTTTTAATGTTTTAAAACTAACGACTACAGTTTGATTACAACGACGGTGGCGCCACTCAAAGCGCACAATCTGAAAAGTTGCGCAAAACGACGTTTCAGCCAAGGGCTACAGACCGAGGGTGTTTCTTATTTATTAATTTAAAACCAAAAGGATTGTAATATCTTATAAACGACATATAGTTTCAGTTATATTATGGATAAATTTGTCCTAAAACGAACATCGTTCGGTTAAATAGCATTTGGGTATAAATATAATTGCACCTTTGTGATTCGCCCTCGGTCTGTAACGTGCAAAATATATTGGGAAATGCGCAACTTTTTCAGGGTGGCAGCACGGTCGCGGGTGTCAATGGCGCCGTTCAAATTTCGTAGCGTTGATGTGTAATTAATTATAACAATTAAATTAGGTATCTGGTAACAAGTACGTGTGGGTATAGACAATTTGTTATACAGTAAGTACAGTCGTATGCAGTAAAATCCTAGAGTCTAGTATCCCTTTAATGAAACACTTACTACAAAATGTGTACTAGAAACACTAACGAAGAAACAAAGTAATGCTGAGGCGTAAAGTAAAAGTGTAATCGACAGAGGTATATTACATACGAGAATGATATGGTAGCGAGGCCGAATATCTCTAACATCATGAATATGATCACGGGGTTACTATAGGCAAGAACGTTGCCCAGTCGCAGCATCACCGTCAGTATCACCATGGTGATTGACATCTGTGTAAATGATGTGATAGCCCAGGCAAGCCAGTGCACCGCATTACTCATGCCCATCATCTTCATCACCTGTAGTCGAAGAAAGACGTTAGAAAGTGAACGAGCACCGACGGTAGCATCATCTCACTTGATTGAATCTCAGGGCTGGAAATTTTGTGCACTCCCTCTCCCTCCCTCTTTTCACCCTCCCCCCTCTCTCACTTTCTCTCTCTGTATCTTTCTCTCTCTCTCTCTCTCTCTCTCTCTCTCTCTCTCTCTCTCTCTCTCTCTCCCTCTCCCTCTCTCCCCTGCCATCACTCCCCTCCCTCGTT